AGAAAAACGGTGTCACCTGCACAAAACTCCGCCCACAACATGAAGTCAACATGAAAACAATATTCAACACCCCCACTTGTTCTTATGTTGACAATATACAGTACATCTCATTCACATCCCAAAAAGAAAACATACAAATTTATCCATTCTCATTTTAGTTACAGACTTTGTGAAAATATCAGCCACCATTTCTGTTGTTGGACAGTAACAGAGAGTTATTTTTCCATCAGTAAGTGCTGATCGAATAAAGTGATAACGAATATCTATGTGCTTGCATCTTTGGCGGTAGACGGGGCTTTTAGAAAGAGCAATTGCACCTTGGTTGTCTTCAAAAATGGTCACAGGTGTATATTCATGTCCAGAGTCCATTCCTTTCATTAAATTGACCAGGTAAATGCTTTCCTGTGTAGCAGCAGCCAAAGCAACATATTCAGCTTCACATGTAGATAAAGAAACTGTGGACTGCTTTTTAGACTTCCAGGAAACAGTAGGTCCAGTTTCTGATAAACAAAAGCAGTAACCAGTCATACTTCTTCTGTCCTTGTCTCCCGCCCAGTCTGCATCACAGTATGCCACAAGTTTAAGATTTAGATCATTTTTCTTGAAACATAATTCCTGATCTAATGTACATTTCAAATATCTCAGTACATGCTTTGCTGCAACCCARTGTTGTTCTTTTGGTTCAGACAAGTATTGTGACAACTTACTGACAACAAAACTCAAGTCAGGTCTGGTGCTCATCATCACATAGATCAAACTCCCCACGACTTCACGATACTTTTTATGATCAGCAGGTCGCCCTTCACTGTCCAACTTCATTTTATTTTCGCATGGGGTTGATCTTGGTTTGCAGTCAGTCATGTCAAACCTTTTCAAGATTTTCATGATATATCTTTTCTGCTTCATTTTCACTTGACCATGTTTCTGAGTGAAATCAATACCTAGAAAATGTTTAAGTCTTCCAAGATCTTTAATTTTAAACTTAACAGCCAACATTTTCTTCACACATTGAAGTATTTGATCATTACTAGCTGCAAGAATAAGATCATCAACCCAAATAATCAAGATCACCCTCTCATTTTCATTTTCTTTGCTGTAAACACAATAGTCAGCAGGATTCTGCACAAAGTCATTTTCAATAAGGAAATCATGTAACATTTTATTCCAGTTTCGTCCCGACTGTTTCAGGCCATAAAGTGACTTATTAAGTTTACAGACTAGTTTCTCCCCATTTTCTGTTTCCACCTCAAATCCTTCAGGTTGTTCTAAAAAAATCTCACAATCAAAAGGGGCATGTAAATATGCTGTTTTGAGCTGTCCCATTCTGATGGGGAGAATAAGGGGCCGAGGTTTCATGTCTAATGGCATTTCGACTGAGCAATGACTGGAACTCACTAGATAAAAATTCAGTTCCATTATCAGATCTTATACATTTGATTTTCCCATAAGGTGCCACATCTGCAATAAACTTCTCTGTCCCTTTAGCAGTGTCACTCTTAGCTTTCAGGAAGTAGGTAAAAATAGCACCTGAATAGTCATCTGTAAAAGCTAGTGTGTATCTAAACCCATCTTTAGCAGCTGGCTCTATTGGTCCAGCCAGATCTGCATGTACTAGAGCTAATGCACTTTTAGCTTTTCTATCAGGCTCTCTATTTCTGGTCTGAGTAAACTTGCCCTTTGTGCACACTTCACAGTTTAGAYKAGGCTTTTCAATTTTACCTTTAATTTTCATTCCCTCTGCAAYACTCTCCAACTTTGACACATCTTCATAAGTGACCTAATATTTCATGCCACGTTTGGATGTCATAACATGCATTGCATTCATCAACCTCATCTGCAAGARTATTTAAATAGAACAGTCTGTCATGAACATCAATATCAAAAGCCGTACCGTTTTTATGAATGAGCCGGTTCTGTCCATCTTTGAAGATGACTGTTGCTCCTTGGGCAGCTGCGGCTTTAACTGAAAAGATGTCCTGGGAAAATGACGGGACGTACAAGGTGTCCCTCAACATCATCTCCACAAYCCGTCCATTACTGTCTCTCACACTAACTCTGGAAGTGCCTTTCTTCAGCGCGATGCCACTGGCCCTCACGCCATCAGCCAATTCCAACACATGGCTCCGAGGCTTAAACGTTGAGTCGAAATCCTGGAACTTTGCCGCGTCCGTCACAATGTGCTTTGTTGCACCGGAGTCRATCATGAGGCCCTTCATCTTCATGCCATAGATCTGGGAGTCGTCGATCTGCTTCACCTTGAAAGCGAACGTGTGGTCCTCCTCATCCATCGCTTGGTTCACTTTGTCTCGCCTTTTCCGCCGGCAGTTTGCGTCTTTATGCGTGGCGCTCTTGCAGAAACTACACCACTGTCTCGGCTTTCTGCGCTCGCCAGAGGTTGAAGGACAATCCAGGGCTTTGTGTCCTCTCTGGCCGCAGGTGTAACAGGTGAGTTTCGTGCTCCAATCGTCTCTTCCTTTAACCTTCATCACGCAGTCTTCCGCCGAGTCCGCAACACACAACTTTTTGGTGCCCTCATAGCTCCTCAGCTTGGTTTTAAATTGGGCAAAAGTTAACTCTTCATCACTCTGTGTAACGTAAACAGAAAATGGCTTGAACTCATCAGGCAGTCCTTTTAAAATCATTGCAGTCAGCAGGCCATCGCTTAAAACTTCTCCTGCATTACGYAACGCTGTAATTGCAGTTTCTGCTCGTATAATATAATCAGTGACGTTCTCATTGACGGCTTTCTGAAGAGACGTCAGCTCCGTATACAAACTGATCACTTGTGGCTTACTGGAACCAGCGTAGTGGTCTCTCAGGATCTTTAAAGCTTTTCTGCCATCATCCGCAGCATCTCTCATGACAAGGGACAGACTCTTATCGTCCAAAACTTGGATTAATTCTGCATACGCCTCTTCGTTCTTGATGGCGTCTTCTTCCGCGTCATCGGGTTCGTCTTTCAATAATATGGTGCTCTTCAGCTCAAGCAGACGTAAGTGGGCCAAGAACTTGGTTTCCCACAGCTCDTACTTCTTCTCATCTCCGTCAAAACATAATCGGTTCCATCGGCCGCCAAGCTCCTTCCTGGGCCCATAACCTGTTGACGCTGCCATTAGTAAAGGGCTGGAAATGCCGAGGAGAGACGGAGGAAATCAACCCACAGAGCCATCTGATGCGTTTGGCCTGAGTGCAGTGCTCATCRGAGCGACCTGTGGCCTTTTATTAGTAAAACGGTGTCACCTGCGCAAAACTCCGCCCACAACAGGAAGTCAACATGAAAACAATATTCAACAAATAAAGTCGTAATATTACGAGATTAAAGTTGTAATATGTGAATAAAGTCGTAATATTACGAGATTAAAGTTGTAATATGTGAATAAAGTCGTAATATTACGAGATTAAAGTCGTAATTTTACAAGGATAAAGTTGTAATATTATGAAATTATAGTCGTAGTTTTGCAAGAATAAAGTCGTAATTTTATGAGATTAAAGTCGTAATTTTATGAGATTAAAGTCGTAATTTTATGAGATTAAAGTCGTAGTTTTATGAGATTAAAGTCGTAATATTACGAGATTAAAGTCGTAATTTTACAAGAATAAAGTTGTAATATTATGAGATTATAGTCGTAGTTTTGCAAGAATAAAGTCGTAATTTTACGAGATTAAAGTTGTAATATTACAAAAAAAAAGTCATAATCTTACATGACGTGTCCATTTTCTATTCCTCATTTCCTCCTTATTTTCCCCAGACCTTCTGTGTACAGCCATGTGTCTGTGTTTGTAAATTAGTCCTCGATGACTTGGGTCACTCTTAGATTAATGTGCTTTCATCCATTAGCTACGTGACGACTAAATCCGTCAGTGCATGCTTCAGTTTATCATATAGTCGTTTGCACAATTTCCAAGTCCTTCTGATAATTTGATGCTGATGTGCTAAAAGATTAACGATTTATTTTGAGCGATACTAAAGAACAACTTGACAAGTTGCTCAAGGTTCCTCATTTTAATGCAGTGGCAACTGCATGCTTTTTTGTGTGAAGGGTACAGAGTTACAACTTTAATTTTAGAATATTATGACTTTAATCTCGCGATATTTTGACTTTATTCTCATAATTTAAAAAAAAATTTCAAAATCTCGTGTGACCCTAATCGTTGTACCCCGGTCTTGCAGCCATAAAAAATAAATAAATAAAAATGTTAACATGATTCTATTTGTATATACAACCAAAATATTGAGTCACGGTTGCAGCATTGGCAAAAAATAAATGTAGCTTGTTTTTGGTGGTAAATTATTTTTGGCTACATGTGGTAAAAGTACAAGAAAAAACATTTGAAAACGTATGCATATGCAGACAAACTTGCCTTTTATTGAAGGAAATGCTGGGTTTTTCGTGATGTGAATGTACAAGTGATAGCATCAGTGAGAAAACAACAAAGCTTGAGTGAGAACAGAACACGCTCTGCTTGAACTCGGCCTGAATGTCAGCTGGCAGCAAAACTCTAATTTAAACGAACACGTCGAGGTCATGTGAGGAAGTCCAGTCTTGTAAAGAGCAACCGTGTATTTTTCTAACAGACACATGGTGTCGAAACGAACTGTTAGCCAAAAACATGTAACATGTGACGCTCATCTACTACCACACCAAAGATTAGCTCAAATGTTGTAGCTATTTTTGTGTTTGCTAAAAGGTGATCAGTTGTGGATGTTCAACCAATAATCTTTTTTTTTCTTTCAAATCTGTTCACTGGTTCCTGAGATATTTTGCTAAAAATACAAACACTCATCATTAATTCTGCCAAAGGTCAAGAAGTCCAGTTCTGTGTTCAGATTATGCAATCCCATTCAGCTGATGCCTCTGTAAAGATAAGACAGGAAAAGAAAAGGACAAAGGAAAAAAACAGCTTAGACTTGAGATAACCACAGTAATATTCCACACATTTGTAATAATTTAGCACAAACCTCCTACAGAAAACCCAATTGTTTAGTCAGTCCTCTCAACAGCTCCTATTGATTTTTACGAGCCGAAGCCTTGCTGCAGATACGAAGTGGCTGCATGTTTTCTGTCCTCGCAGTGGTAATCTAATCAGACTGACCTTTCCTATCCCAGCAGGTTGAGAAAACACAGATGCAGCACAACTCATTTACACGCTGTTCTTCTGTGCCGTGGCAAGCTCGCACGGACGTAAAGACAAAACGTGACATTTTATCTGGCCGGTGACGCAAGGATGGAAGAAATATTCAAATTGTTTGCAGAGCGTTTGGATCTGTCATACAACACGGAAGAGTTGTGCTGAGATAATTGTTTGGCTCGTGTGTGTGTGTGTGCGTTTCTTTTTAGCATTTGCATCTACAACTGATTAGCCTACCCTTTGGAGTCAGTCCAATTTAAGATGGCCGAATTGTGAAACGTTGAAACACCAATAATTCAATCGATTTTACAGATAGGGGAGAGTGGGGTAAGATATGAGCCATTTTTCACTTGTAGGATCACTACATTGAAGCAACCATCATCTGGTAGATAATTTACACATCTGCATATATTTCATGATATTATGCATCTTTTCAAATAAACAGAATGAGGTAAACGTAACTGTGTCAATAATTGTTCAAAAGAAGTTGTCTCATGGCACAATTTACCCCATATATGGGGTACTTTGTGCATCCTTACACCAAAACTCAATCCCCACCACTCACTCACCTTTCCCTCCTTAAATAAAAGTCACTTTTTCTCCATCAAGCTTAATTTATTTGTTGTACACCACTCAATGGGTACAATCACAAATTGCACAGCTCAAATTTGTTTATTAAAAACAGCAAAAAAGAACAAAATACTTTCAAGAATGGAAGCGAACATTAACATTTGTTCCCACGGCTAAAATGCTACACTTTTATGCTAGGTATAACCTCATGTTGTAGCTAAATCTAAGGATATTACATTCTCCATAACCTCCACTGGCTTTCTGTCACCTACAGAATTCAGTACAAGATTGCTCTCATTACCCATCAATGTTTAAAGGAACAGTGTGTAGGATTTTGTCAATTCTTTTAGCCGAAATTGAGATAATCACTAATGACAATAATAAAAAACATGTCTAATCATTGCAGACAAAGACCTTGTTTTATTATTTTTACCTTTATAAAAAGCTGTTTATATCTCCATGGTCGCGGGTCGCCCTACAGGCAGCCGCCATCTTGCACCGGCATCTTGTCTACAAAGGCTCATGAAGGACAAACTGCGGTGGCGGCGTCAAAAACAGTTTTAGTTGTAATACTATAAATGTAATATTTGTTGTCTGTCATTGTAGCTGGAATGATTTTACTTATTAAAGCTCATAATCTTACCACTTGAAACATCACTAGCCCTGAAGCTGCTGGTAGACATCGCGGTTGGAATTATTAAAGGTTTTTGACACCTGAGAGACACCGTAGCAACTCCTTTGCGTTTGGAAGCGGGGGGTGGGGGGAGGATTCAACCACTCAACCACTAGATGTTGCTGAAAACAACAAATCCAACACTGTGCCTTTAAATGGAACCGCACCAGATTATCTGAAGGACTATATTGTTTCATATCCATCCATTCTTTTCGGTCACAGAACAGTAATCTACTCCACCTTCCACCAACTAAATTAAGGGATAAACTGGGCTAAACACAATTCCTATTAAACTTACAATAGACTAAATTCACTTTCAAGGGTGAAAATTGTCTTTAATAGCAGCGGTGGGCAGCACTAAACTAAATATTAGTTGCATTAACCTAAATCACTAACTCAGATATTTAGGTCCCCTAATTCTAAAGCACTAACTCAGATTTTTAGGTCCCCTAATTCTAAAGCACTAACTCAGATATTTAGGTCCCCTAATTCTAAAGCACCAACCCACTGAAAAATTTAGCAAAAACTAATTCTAAAGCCTGGTCTTTAGAATTCTAAAGCCTTGTGAAATAGGTCTGGGGGGAAAGGGGGAGGTCTAGCAGTAGATAATTGTTAATTTTCTCTCCAGGGGATAAATCAAGGAGGAAATGTTTGTAATTATCATTACGTGACTAGTGCCAATTTAGATATCTGCAGTTTTATACAACAACCATGTCTGACACTTCTTTTTTCTCTGATTTCAAATGGAAAAATATATTTTTTTGGGATTTTCTGTAGAGTAATGGAGGTACAGAGGCAGAGGGGACAAAATGTTTTTCATGCTAAGCAACGTTCTGGCAGAAGGAAGAAACGCCTTACAAAATCAGCTGTCAGGATGTGGTATAAGGGAAATTATAAGAACCTAACCTAATCTGAAACTAGAGGCTAAACTAAACTAATTACAAACTGCAGAATGGGCTGTTACAAGCTAGTTAGACCAAATAACAGAGCAACAGTCACATGCAATCTCCCTGAAACTCCCAGCTGTCTCAGACCATAAACATGTCTTATCGGTCGTCTAAGTTCTGGGACCAGAGCAACTCTTTGTTGCACAACGGCTGAGAACTGAAAGGGAAAGCCCGAGCAGAATGTTGATAAAACACTCCCTACGTTAAGGAACAGGGTGTTTGTGATGAAAACACGTGCGCAATGTGCAAAGTGTTCGGCTCGTTAGCGGGGAGGGGAAGCTGGTTCTGGGTCGGGCCTGTCTCTGCAATGCAACCAGGAAATTCATTTGGCACAAATCAGGAACGTTTCACAGCAGGTGTTTGCGTGATGTGTGGCATTTTTTTGTGTAAATTGATCGGAAACTTTTTTTTTGTTACATTCAGGCAAGAATCCAACCTGTTTGTGTGTCATCAGCTGGCAAGCCAAGAGTTTCCTGAGTTCAACTAACAGAAGGAGGTTTTAGAAAAAGGACGGCTCGGCTGTTCAAACAGAAAAGCCATTCAAGAAGTGTTTTCATTGTAACCAAGGACATTTTGTATGTTCTTGGTTACCTTCTTAAGACTTTTACTGGTTTAGTCACCTTGTCAAGACCAGCAGTCCTTATGAAAACCAAAGCCTGGTCCTGATACACTAAAACATAATCTGTGGGTTAGGTGTTAAAGCTGAGGTGTGAACTGTTTTACGCCCTTCTTGAACGCTCTCTGAAAACGTGAGATTGATTGAGGCAAAACATCATGAAAAAAATGCTTACCGAATTGTGAGAAATATCTACATTTAAAATTATGATTCAATATAGAGAAGCCTAATTTAATGCCCTGTCAAAAACTGTAAAAAGCCCCATAGTTCTGCCTTTTCTCATAATTCGGCTAAAGAGAAAAAAACTGACAAGTTTAAACACAGCTGCTAATTCAGCTGTCTGCTTCACAGT